GAATCACCAGAGTATGGCAAAGAGGAACCTGTGGAGAGCAACCTAAATTTTGAGGAAATAAAAGTATGATGAAAATCTGCCAGCAATTTGAGTAATATTAATGTGCGCCTTGCTTCTCTGACTTCAACTTTTTATTCCAGTAATATGTTCTAGTTTACAGCATTTTCTAATCAATTTTCATTTTAATGGATGAAAACTTGACTGGCCATCAATTATACCTACACCTACATTTGGGTACATCATTCCATAGGCTGTTATTTTAGCAATTATTCAGTAGAGGCACCTAGACAGGAAAATCAGGTTTGATTATGTTTGATTTTCCTATAACTGTAACTGAACAATCCAACAAATGGAAGCAACTATTAAAAGGCAGTGTGTTTTCCTAGGGCAAATGATATATGAATGGGAGTTGGAAGAACTGGGAACCATCATACTAATACTGGTAAGAGAACTAGAAACACTCATAAATTCTGGGTATTAGGATTCTAGGACGGTCTATCCAATTATGGACACTATGTTTTAAGGATTCAGAACACTATTTGAGAAGAGCAAGGATGATGTTGAATAAGGAAGCTGGAAATAAGACCTATGACAAATATCATATAAGGATGTTGGTGTAGCTAGCCACAAAAAGAATCCATTTTCAAATACCCCAAATCGTGCCACAAAGAAAAACAGACCTATTATCTCTCATTCCAGAAGGCAGGGCAATCAATTGATGTTACAGGACCACTGATTCTGACAGTAAGCTTTATATAAAAAGCCCAAAACTTCTGTTGCTAAGTAAAACATTTATTAAGTGAATTTTGCTCCATTTTTATGACCTTTCTTGCCACAGTTGTAAAAGTGAATCACTGCAGTTGATAAGTTAGCAACACAGTTCGCAAATGGTGATCACAAGACCCCTGGACAATGCAGCCATCATAAATAGGAGTCAGTTGCCAAACATTTGAATTTTGATCATGTAACCATGGGGGTGCTGCAAAAGTCGTAAGTGTGAAAAATAGTCATAAGTCACTTAATTTCAGTGCCGTTGAAACATTGAATGGTCACTAAATGAACTGCTGTATGTCAAGAATTACCTGTACATTACATCTCACCTCAGAGATACAATCATGGACTAAATAATTTACTAAATATCAAAAAATTAATCTTTCTGAATGGAACTAGATGAAAAACTGAGAAACCTGCACTCTGGAAAAAAAACACGCAAAGAAGGTAGTTTTATTTACCAGTAGAAATATAATGCTTAAAGAGGTTTCTATCCATTAAAAAGAGGTGAGAATTCTTATTTGGTTCACATCTTTTTTAATCTAATTTTTACTTCTTACTAAAATGGGTAATTAAATACCATTATTCTTTAGAATGGTTCTTCCATTTTTTCATTCAAAACTTGGGTGAAAAATATATGAATATATTTGGAAACTAATATTTTGAGACTATAAATGTTTCTCCAGCTCAGTTAAGGCTGTGTAAATGAAGTGTAACTGGTCATACATAACCTGACTGCTTTGAGGGCCTTCCCAATTGAAATGTACATGCACAGAAAGCAGTTCAATTGGGTTTGGTACTGCAATGAATCAGCAAACACATGGCTTTGCTAAAATTTAGTGCAATTGTTGCTACAAAGCAAACCTCAGAATGATCTTAGCAGCCCTATTTCTTATAATTTTATAGAGAAATGCATACAATTTTAATAGTTTTAATAGGATTAATTTCAACGTAATTTTGAATCTATGTACATCTACAACTTCTACTAAAATTAACAGAGCTTAAACCCAAATGTCAGTGGGAAGTAAAGTTATAATTTTGGTCCTGAGCTCATATATCTGCATTGGCTCTTCACTAAGAGGAGTAATGATACAGTATTCAGTAGAATAACAGTAGCACTGTATGTGGTCCCACTAACTAGAATATTTAAAAAATGGAAAAAGATTAGGCCAAAAGCCCACCCAGTCAGATATTCTATGCAAAAAGCTTTAGGTATTTTAGGATAGTGGCATTCTCCCCTATCCTCCTCATGTTGTAGATGAGAGCTGTTACAATAATTCCCTTTTAAACAGGAAAAACTACTTCAAGAAAAAGATCAAAGTCAGAAAATTAGGAGGAGAAATTAGTATTTAATCTTTTATCTGCCTATCAGTTCTTTGCCATAAATAACCTTAAATTACCTGAATTCTAAATGTAAGCAATGATGTACGTGGAATACTTAAGCAGACAGGGAAGTTGATTACACTTCAGGAGAAAGACCAATAACACTCTTGTATTATAGTAGACAGACAGTCTATGGAAATAGTTCAAACATCAATTTCTTATATAAATGGTAACTTTGCTGCATTACAAACTTTAGCCAATGTATATCCGGAAGTATCTTAACACAATACAATAAGTAAACAGGCTTAAATAATAAAAATGATCATTCAATTCTTTACCAATCTGTAATCAACATTTATATAGGTAGTCCTCACTTACGAACCACAAGACAAATTGGCAACTCAGGTGCTAAATGTATGGTAGTTAAGACTGACGCCATGTGAGGCCAACTCAAAAGGGTCAGTTCTAGGTGCAGTCGTTAAGCAAATCATCGTAAGTTGCTAAATGAGATAATACAACTGTGATGAGCAACTTCCTTTAAGCTTCCCGTTGATTTTGCTTAGAATATCACAATAGAAATTGTGTAGCCATGGGACACTATGACTGTCATAAATGTGAACGGGCCAAATCACAATCACGTGACCATGGGGATACGACAGCCACAACTTCAAACACTAGTCATAAGACTTGTTTTTCAATGCCATTATATATTACTTTCAAATAATCAATGAATAAATAAACAGCAAGTAAGGACTACCTGTAACCTGTCATTATGTTAGTGAATTTTTTTAAAAATAACATGAGTATGTGCTGCCTCTTATTACAAAGTTCTGAATCTCACCAGCACATATATATTCTACTATTTCTTAATTCTTAAGTCACAGGTGTCAAACTTGTTGCATCACGTTGATGTCACAGGACATATCATGATGTTTACCTTTGTGAAGCTGGGGTGGGCATGACCTGCACGTGACGCATCTGGCCCACAAACCAGCAGGTTGACACCCCTGCTCTAAAGTGATTTAAACCTGTGAGTCTTAGTTATATTAGCAATGCATCCGTACTGAACTTGGCTGATGGTGGGTTCATCTATGTTTTCTTTGCAATAGGAAGGCAGTGGTTTGCTTCTACATTCTTTCAGAATGCTTTTTCAACTTCCCTGCTTAAAGTTCAATATTATTTGTTCCAATTCCTGCTTCACTACAGAATTAGAAGGATTAAAATCTACCAAAAGTTATATTTGTGAGGTAGCATTTACACTTTTTTCCAAACAGTAGGCAACAAGTCAACTACTTTAAAAAAAATTCAAAAGATAGGTAGCAGATGACCGTCAATTAACTTCCAGAAAACAAGAAACATCTAAATCTAGGATTCCTTACAAAAATAAAACAATTTATTTGAAACTATTTGGTAGTATAGATGTTAAACCAGCCAGGAACCTACCCAACCAAAGATACTCCAGGATTTCCATTCATTTCATAACTTTTCATTGATGGTGGTAAGCAATTATATTTCTTATAATTAGTAGAATACAAGAATATTTTTAAAAATTACAATGATCCCAGACAGAAACATTTTGTTAGAGACATATACTCATTTTTATCAGGTGTAATAAAGAATGAGCAAATTCCTTGAACCACTCTGAAAATATACCAAAACCAAGAATTTTAAGATCAGTATAGGTTCCTCTGACAAACTCTTAATATGAGTACCTGCAATTAGAACTGCAGAATCAAAAGTGTATGGAGCACAAATGAAATGCTGAAACAGAAAGCAGAATTAACAATATTTATTTCTTAGTCCTTTGGGTACAATCATGAAAACCTCCGATTTCTAGACATGTGATGAATTTCTAGACATGTCCTGCGTTTGGCAAATATTAAGCTGTGTCCCATAGGTACCGTTCCAGAACGAATTTAAAACTGACCTCATCCCAGCGTCATCAAAAATAACCAGGAGCATCCAATGACATCTCACTCATCATGGCTGAGCAAGAGATTCATTTTGCACGCAACCCTCCGCACGCTGTTATCCACACCATGCAAGTGTAATCTCACCAAAGCTTCCCACGCCTACAAACTTCATCCGCATCGTTAGAAAGCTTTTCACACACTGTTGCCACGAGACACAGGGCAGAAATGGGGAAAGAGAAAAAGGGAAAAACCGGGAGCAACCCAGGAACTTCCCCCTCCCGGCGGAGTAGTGTGGAAATATGAGGCTATTACAACGAGAGATTAGCAATCCCGTTTATTTAAATTAAATACTGCACACTATATGACATTGTTCTGAATAGTGGGATGTCAGTCACTCCATTTGCTTTTTTTTTCTTGTTAACAGAAGGAAAGCTGCACGCATTCGGGCTTCAGAATACGGGTTTACACCTCAGAGAAGCCGCACGTGAGACTTGCCTGCATTCTCCTTGGGTCTCCTGCACATGCTTCCCCATCACCCGCCGAAAATACTCCTGTTGCTACCCCAAGTTTCCGCGCGCAGCCTTTCCAACCGGCCGGCCTCCCCGGCCACGCCCTTCCTGAGCCTCCCCATCCCTAAAGCGGCTTCCCCTACAACTCCGCACCCCCAAACCCTCCCCGCGGCTCCGCGCCCTCCCTTCCCCATGGCACTGCAGCAACCTCCCTCTTTCTCTGCCGTCTCCAGCGGCGACAGCGCAGGTCTGCCACCCCGGGTGCCTCACCGCAAGAGGCGACATAAAAATCTCCTTAACGACCGCGGGCCGACGCCACAGGCCCCGACGCCGACGCCGCTCCTTCTCCGGGCCCGCGCCCATCTTCGGCCCCGGCCGCCCCGGTTGAGGAGGGCGGGCCCCTCCACTCAAGCTCCCCTGGCATCGCTTCCACCCATTCATCGGTTTGCTGTCCTCTGCCTCCCCTCCCCCTTCCCCGGCTCACCATCGCTGCGCTTGATCTCCACGTAGATCCCTATCTGGATCTTGCCGAAGTTGGCCGTTGCCATCGCGTCATCGAGTGAAAGGGAGGGGGAGACACCGAAGATGAGGCGGCGAGGCGGGGGGCGCCCGGCTGAAGGAAAAGGAGAAGCGGGAGGGGCGGCGGGAAAGAGGCGGCGGCGGCCCCAGCAGTTTCTACGGGAAAAGGGGAGGGGGAAGGAAGGAGGAGGAGAGAAAAAAAAAGGCGCCGGCCGGATACAACAGTCGCCGGGAGCCGCTGCCGCTGCGCACACAATGGAGGCGTCACGGCAGGATCGGTTTAAGGAGTGGGAGGAGCAGAGGCGGGCGGCGGGCTTTCGGAGTTTGGCGTGGGGCGCCGCGGAGGCCGCCGCCGTCGCCGCCCGCACGCCCGCCGGTTTCTTCGGCGGTGCTTTCTTGTGCTGGCTAGGGCGCCGCCGCGCTGAGCGGAAGGAGGGGGACGGGCTCTACTCTCCGCCTCCTGAACTCCAGCCCCCGGCTTCGCTTCCTCGTCGGCAGCGTGGTGGGGTTTACGAGAAAAATCTATCCGACCAGGTGCATTTGGGGCCTTGGTCCTTGGAGTGGATTCCTGGGATACGGAGTAGAGGTTACTGCGCTCCCCGTTTTGCAAGGGAGGCGGCGAGAGTGCGGGGAGCCGGACGGGCCCGAACGGAAGGCGGGTTCAGTTCTCGTTCTGTCCGTTGTTACCTCATGTGGGATTTTGATGCCCTGAATGAAAAATAAGCCTTTTCATTAAGGCATTGTCATGCTTGTCATTCCTCCAAAGGGTCGTAACAAGTTGAGTCCATTTACTATATTTAAAATGCTGCACCCTCACCCCACCTGTCCTCCTTAATAGCATAAGCCTGTTATCTTCCTAGCAATTACGTGAGGTAATTTATTTTGAGACTAGTTCTGGACTAAACCTTGTCTAAAGCCCCTTTTATAGCTGCTATTACAACTTTTAAACTGTGTGTTTGAGATGTCTGATCCCTCACATTTTCTGAAGTCATTTTTATCACCTCCAGACATCAGTAGAATACAGTTCTGTATTGAGTTAGTCCTAGGCTTTGTATGGAAAAGCATGTAGGTTTTTTCCTTTTGGTTAAAGTGGATTTTTTTAAAAAATAAAATAAATCTATGCTGGAATTATCATCACAACATCCAAGAATGTGTGTATTCACTCCATCACTTCGGCTTCCCATAAGGCTGCCACAAATGAAAATGGCAACATTAGGATAAATTCCTAATGGAATTTGGCTCTTTCTCAGAAAGGAAATGGGTAGATTGATTAAACCTCCCTGTCCCTTAATATGCTGTTTAGGTTTTGGAAAAACATTGAAGAATTATTTTAATCTGTTAAAATATGTATCACAATTGAAAATGCATACCTGGATTGTATCAACCAAAGAGAAGCAATTTAGTTATATATACTATAATTAAGCATATTTTTGAGTTCTTCAGAATCAGGCAAAACTGTATAAAATGGAATAGGGAAAAAGCAAGTAAATATAAAAAGGTTTAAGTTCAAGGGCTGAAATTCAAAATGTGTTGCAAGACTGAACGCCCAATTAATACTAATTTCTTCATTGGTGATTCATTTATTTTATTCTATTTATATGCCCCCCTCTTATCTCAGCAACTCTGGCTAACAACATCAATATAAGAACAAATAACAATTTTAAAAAACAGAAGCGAACAATGGCAACTAATGATAAACTGTCAACAGTAAGTGAACAGCACCTCACAGGCTCAATGACCTTCTGACCCTCATGCTTGAGGACAGCCAAGTCTTAAGAGCTTACTGAAAGGCCAGCAGAATTATGATTAAAATCAGGTGGAATAGTGTGCTAAGTACTACAGCAGAGAAGGCATACTTCCTGGTTCACACTGGATGGCACTCTTTAATCAATGGGATATGTAGCAGCTTTACTACACCATCCAACCATTGTGCTAATATAATTAGGGAGTCAGGCTTTGTATTGTCTCAACAATGTTGATTTGTAATTTCATCTCTTATTTAAGGATGTTTCAATTCTGAAAGGGGAAAGACTGTTAGCAGTTGGGCTTCTCTTATGGCCAGTTTAAACAGAAATAATGAAACATTGCAATCTATCAAGAAAATGGGACCGTAATTTTGGTTGGCACACTAAACAAATTAAAAATAATTGGGTGGTGTCGCAAAATAGTTAAAGGAAATGGACTCCACATAAGATTTATTCAAATACTATAATATATGTTGTATAAAATAATTATATATATATAAAAGCAAAACACTCTGCTAGTACTATATAAACATAGTTTATTCCCAATCTTATGAAGGAAAAAAATCTCTCAATTTCATAATCATGTTCTCATATTTTTTTAGTAAAGATATGGAAGTGGCTTACCATTGTCATAAACATTATACTAGCTATGGTATTTCCTAATAGTCTTTCATCCAAATATTAACCAGATCCAACCCTGTTTAACTTTCCAAGTTTAATAAAGGTTATTTAGGTACTGCCATCTACATGGGTTTTTCTTTAGAAGCACACATCAAAATGGGCATTTTCAAAGAAATTATGATGACCCAGGGTGGGATACAAAACAAACACAGTCACAGAAAACAAGTGAAGCCCCTTTTATTCCTTCACTTTGCTTCCAAGTTCTGAATATTCTTGATTGAAGACAAAACACTCCCACACAGTTACAAGAAGAAGGAAAAAAGCAACACAAACCAGGCAAGATAAGGGCTGGAGGACGTCCACAGATAACACACACTGGGAAGGACGCCAAACTCAGGAACAATAAACTAGAGATATTTCCACCTTTGTTTCCAGCTGTCACCCATATGCAAGTCCATCCTTTTATTCAGTTGTCACAGCTGCAACCCATGAAGAGGATCAAGGCCCTCTCCTCCCCAGTAGACCATGTCTCTCCCTTATCATCTCCTCCTTGCGTGCCCTAGGATGGATGGGCCTGGGTCTTCCTCTGACTTCTCAGCTGGCCTCTGCCCTTCCCCAGCCTCCTCCACAACCTCCAGAGCCACACTTCCACACCTTGTCAGCTGTTCCTCCTCTCCCTCAGAGTCAGTCTCCACCAAAGGCATGACAGAAATGTTGGTTCATGGGGTGGTGGGGAATCCAGTTAACATCCTGCAATAATTTTGTTTAATAAATGTGTTGGTAGTGGGGGGGAGGAGATGTAAATTCAAAGGCTTCTTTTTAGATGTCACTGCCCCACTTTTTTTTAAGGATGAGTACTCTGACCATAAGAGTAATATTTCTATGTGTCATATATGTGGGTATATATATATAATTTTGTATGTATTTTGTCATGGCTATGTAGTGTATATTGGAGGTGGCGATCCTTTGAGAGCTGTATGCAATGAAATTTCATTTTAATGTGTGCCAATTAGTCTACATTCAAAGTGATAATAAAGCTATTCTATTCTACGCTTAACAAATTCTTGAAAAGGATGGATCAGGGAAGTTCTTATTGTGCTTGTATATCTTCTTCAAAGGGGAAATTATACATGTATGGTTAATTTAAGTCAGAGAAGACTATTAGAGCAATTTCAGTTCGAACCAACTATTTAAAGGATATTGTTCTATAATGATGTACTTTGCCTACATGTCCTGTACAGGTGAAACGTGAAAAATTAGAATATCATGCAAAAGTTCATTTATTTCAGTAATGCAACTTAAAAGGTGAAACTAATATATGAGATAGACTTATTACATGCAAGGCAAGATAGTTCAAGCTGTGATTTGTCATAATTGTGATGATGATGGCTTGTAGCTCATGAAAACCCCAAATCCACAATCTCAGAAAATTAGAATATTACATGCAATCAATAAAACAAGGATTGTACATAGAACAATATTGCACCTCTGAAAAGTATAAGCATTCATATATACTCAGTACTTGGTTTGGGCCCCTTTTGCAGCAATTACTGCCTCAATGGGGCATGGAAGCAATCAGCCTGTGCCTCTGCTGAGGTGTTATGGAAAACCAGGATGCTTCAATTGCAGCCTTCAGCTCTTCTGCATTGTTCGGTGTCATGTCTCTCATCTTTCTCTTGGCAATGCCCCATAGATTCTCTATGGGATTCAGGTCAGGAAAGTTTGCTGGCCAATCAAGCACAGTAATCCCACGGTCATTGAACCAGGTTTTGGTGCTTTTGGCAATGTGGGCAGGTGCCAAGTCCTGCTGGAAAATGAAGTCAGCATCCCCATAAAGCTCATCTGCAGAAGGAAGCATGAAGTGCTCCAAAATCTCCTGGTAGACAGCTGCATTGCCCCTGGACTTAATGAAGCACATTGGACCAACACCACATGGCTCCCCAAATCAACGCAGACTGTGGAAACTTCATACTGGACTTCAAGCGTGTGCCTCTTGTTAGGAATAACATAGGTTACCTAACGTAGTTTGGGTAAAATAATATATATAAACTATGATTGTAAGTTTAAGTGTGTGTCACTTTAAACTGCAAAGCATGTAATTTTGGGTGCGGTTGTGAACCACCATAAGGGAGCAAGAGAACCTGATGATTCCTGATGATTGATGGTTTGATGAATTGATGGTTTGTTAACTGCGTGTTTCCCTACTGCTGAGTTGCTGAAGGAAGAGAGGAGTTTTGACTTCTTCATATCTCTACTGCGAGGAGATATATTACTGGACTGATATTTGTAAGTTTACTGACCTCTCTTTTTCGACACTGGAATTTGCAACTGAATAATCCCTGGACGGACTGAACTAGTGAATGATATATGGACTGTTTGACTATGCTATAACTCTTACTGGAATAAACTATTTAACTAGCACTGTGTATCTGTTTTACTGAGTGTAAGCTACAAAAATGTTTATCTCACATATTTTGCCTGCCTGCCTGACTGCCGTGCAGATTCTGCTAGGGTGTATCCCTAACACCTCTCCATTCTTCCTCCAGACTCTGGGTCCTTGGTTTCCAAATGAGATGCAAAAGTTGCTCTCATCAGAAACGAGGACTTTGGACCACTGAGCAACAGACCAGTTCTTTTTTTCTTTAGCCCAGGTAAGACGCTTCTGACGTTTGTTGTTCAGGAATGGCTTGACAAGAGGAATACGACATTTGAAGCCCATGTCCAGGATCCGTCTGTGTTTGGTGGCTCTTGATGCACTGACTACAGCCTCAGTCCACTCCTTGTGAAAGTCCCCAACACTTTTGAATGGCCTTTTCCTGACAATCCTCTCTAGGCTGCGGTCATCCCTGCTGCTTGTGCACCTTTTTCTTCCACACTTTTTCCTTCCACACAACTTTCTATTAATGTGCTTTGATACAGCACTTTGGGAACATCTAACTTTTTTTGCAATTACCTTTTGAGGCTTTCCTTCCTTATGCCAATGATGGTTTTCTGTACAACTGTCAGGTCAGCAGTCTTTCCCATGA